ATTGGAAATGATTCATTCAAGTACCTGATAATTGTGAACTTGTTATTCTTTGTGAAAGAGATGTCCAAATGCTGATNGACAAAGAAATATTGAATGGACTNGAAAGAGCATTTTGTGTTTCTCANAATCCTACTTTTTGGGATTTTGGATTAGATTTACTNGANAGAATCCGNAACAGTTTCTTAAGTTGGCAATAGATTCTAACTCAGTCCTTCACTTTGTGATTTGTTTTGAAGAGCAAGTAAACTTTTTTTTGTATGTTTGAAACTCGGTTACAACTTATTTGCTTTCACTCTGAGGATTATTGTCTTAATATGATACTAACCACGAAAATCAAAATAAGCCTATTGTTGTAAAAGTCACTGTCACAGTTTGACAGGTCTTGTTTGCTTCTTGTTACTTCTCAGGAGAGTGTCTCAAAGTGTTGATAAATGGGTTTTATACAAGGTATTGTATTCGTCATAGACTTTATTTATAGTTCGCCTCAAGTTGAAGGTTCCTCAGCTGGTCTATTTTCTAATAGCTCAGAGAAGTTGTTTTTATATACAATTGCACACAAACCAATATCCACTCTTTATTACAAAAAAATGAAAAAGATAGTTTTTATCTAAAAGGCAAATCATGTTCTTATCAAGACTTGTCCTAAGCTTCGAAAGACTTTCGTCGCTCTCAAGAGTTTGAGAGCATTGCACTGTTGGAAGAAGATTGATCGATCATTGTTGTATTTTACTGTCGCATAGTTTACTTCATAGCTTACGATATGTCTAGTGAGCTTGAAGCAGAAAGCGTGTATGACATGGTTGTAGTAGACCGAGAACAAGATGTTGGTGTAGTAACACTGCAGTTATTTAGGCTATACACTCTACGTAAACTTGGTCGCCATTTCAAACCAGTCATACCCTTTGGTCCCCACCTCTTCGGAAGTGGAAAGACAAAATTCGTACAAAATTACTTGGAACTGGTGAATAATATGGGTGAAAGTGCACTGATAGGTCTCGATTACGTTGGTGAGTCTGAGAAGGCCAACCGAAGAGGTTTCCTGGAGAAGCTGAAAAGGGCTTCATTGCTCTTTGTGGATTTGAAGGAGTTGAAGCCCACAGAACCGAAAGAACGAAACCTAAAGTGGGCAGTCTACTATTTATTAGAAAAAGCAGCTTGTTAGCAAACAGGTCTACCGCAAACAAACCCGGACGAAGCCTACAAGGAACTAAAACTTAGGACTGATGCTTTGGTCCAGAAAATCCGGAAAACCTTAAACATTCCTTCCGATCAATATCTCCTGGTGGCATTTGACGAAATTGGTGTCCTTGACGAAAGTCTCGACGAATTTCATTTCAAGAGAACCAATGACGGTAGAGTTCGACCTTACAATGACTTTATCGGTATCATTAGTCAATTGTGCAAAGAACCCGACTTGTTTTTTATAGTTGTTGGGAAAAGTGAAGGCTTAAATATATATAATTACGTAGCTTCAGTCTCAAGAGTTCAGTTAGTATTTATTCCTCTTTCGCCGCTTGAGAAACATAGTATCGTGGAACACTTGGAGAAAAGTTCTTCCTTTTTATTCACTAGGAGCCCAAAGGTTTCAGAAATTCTTTGTCACAAAGACTTCTCAACTAGTGAACTTGCAGAATTGTTGTTGGAATTGACTGGTGGTGTTCCTGGTTTACTTGTTCGAGCAATCAGTTACCTTTTACTGTATAAATCATCCAACAACAATTTCTCATTATCTAAGGAAACCTTCTTGATCATAATGAATGATCTTTCAGTAACAAATTATTGTGTTGCGCCATTCTTACCTCGTCTGATAAGTCTCAGTGAGCAGCGTAAGCGCTTGTTAAGAATGCTTACGTTATTATCTTTGTATCGTATTCGATTTGATTTTGATGAAACTGTGCAAATGAGCTCAAATTCTGATGTGTTTTTGTTTGATCTAGTTACAGATATGTGTCTCTATCGTCGATTGGTTATAGAACCAGACCACAACGAACGCTATGAAGTGTTGATACCCAAGTTACTGATTGAATATATTGACCAAGGCTTAAAGGATGATCGTTTAGAATGGTTACTTTTACAAACCCTCAAGTCTCAATCTGTTGAATTCTTTTATGAGTCGAAATGTCGAATTTTGGAAGGTCTTATTGCTACACTGTTTTATTTACATTTTTCTCGGCATCCTACAAACAGCTCAATGTTGTCTACTCTTGGTCAATTGTCTCGTGTTTGGAATGAAATGAATTTACAATTTTCTTCCGAATCTGCTGCTTATTATATGAAATCTATACATTATACCAGAACTGTATCAGGAACAGAGAGAATGACATTTGGAAGCAAATGAATGGGAAAGGATAGTGGAAGAAATATTAGAATTTGAAAAGATATATATTCCATTTCATTCAACTATTCCATAGTCCAGATATATTATTCAAGTTGCATGGAAGAACGAATGAGAAGAACTTGATGATGGTGGGTATTGCTTGTAAAGGCCGATGGAGTCGTAATGGTATTCGATGGAATGAAATTTTGGAAGAAGCTCACAAGTTTTAAAAACCAGTGCATGATCAAGTATTGACTAGTCATCCTACATGGCATTGTATGTTGATTATTATGAGTACTCAAGTAGCAACCAACGTATCTGAGGACTTGAATTATTCTAGTCGTTGTTATTCATCTGGCGATAGTGTTGAAGATTTCGTGATTCCTCACAACTGTGAATTGGTTATTCTTTCTGAAGCTGATGTAGAAAACTTTATTGGCAAAGACATTTTATCAAATTTAAGGAACGCTTTCAAATCTGTGGATAATCCACATTCGAGAAATATTGGCATTTCAACACTACAAGAAATAGTTTCATCTCTTTCCAAAAATATTTAGGAATATCTCGTTTTCGTTGTTTAGTGAATGCTTCTTTGTTATCATTGAAACATTTGAAATTTAATATTTTGTAAAGGATGTGGAGTGGCTTAAACTTTCTTTATCAAAAGATTCTGAAATGAATGGAGATTACCATAACTGTCGTAGTCTTATTTTGTAGCAAACGATTTTCATTGTCCAACTTCATGGGCAGCTAAGTATGCAAAGAATCCACCTTGCAGGTTTAGAATATCCCCTCGTCAATAGAGAATCAGCAATATTACAAGTTCTAAACGCTTTTGAAGCTACTTATCCTTCGGACTCAAAAGGTGTAATCCAAGGTCAGCGACCAAACGTGTGTTATGCACCCCAAATGTATGGGAGTGGTAAAAGCACTTTTGGGGAGAATTTCCAAACCTTTCTTTTGGCCAACAAAGACAGCTTGTTGCGTTATTTGAATATGAACAATATGTTTCCTGGCGTTGCAAGAGGTGAAAATGTAGGCGAACGTGCATTGGACGCTTTGCTTAATGAAACTTTATATGTCAAGTTGAACCTTGTTGAAGTACCAAACGGAACTAGTTTTCAAACGACACTTTTGAAGTGGATAAGCAAGAAAGCACTTGCCGAGTTTCCAAACGGTTCAGAATTGCTATCTCAAGTTCTTTATTGCATGAATAGTTCCAAACAATGGCTGCAGAAACTCTTGCAAGTTACCCAAAAACGTTATTTATATCTATTCATTGACGAAATTGGAGCTTTAGAAGGTTTTAAATTCTCCAAGTTTGAGGATTTGATATACAGTTATGGACCAACTCCGGCGCACAACATTTATCGTGCCTTTTTTAGAGTCTTGTCCAGTTTGTTAGTCAGGCCTTTTGTAATTTGTGTTGTCGCAGGAAGATCAGATGCTATTATCACAAGACAACGAGATGCCAGTATTTCACGAGTAAAGTTGTCTTTTCTTCGTTTGGATCCCTTTTCAGAAGAGACTGTCAAGTTCTTTATACAAAATACGACGCATCATAATGAATCTATTCTAAAGCTTCTTTTTCCTAATCATCCAGAAGGACACGATTGGTTCTTTAAACAAATACATAGTTATACTGGTGGTGTTCCTTATTACGTTGTTTATGTTTTAAAGAAACTGTGCGAGACTTGTAGAATTGTCTCGAGATCCATTGATCCTTCAGAGGATGAAATCCAAAGGAGAATAGAGCAAATTCCTCCTGACTCTTCGCTTTCGGTGAGACCTTCTCATAGGACACCAGAGGCAATGACTACTTTCACTGCTATGCTTCTCGCGAGTATGTTAGAATTTCGTATTCCTATGGAAGAGACTCTGTTGGATACTGTATCTATGGGACTTGATTCCAAATATGTTCTGGATATTGCTAATCATTTTGGTTTTTATTACAAAAATTGTTCTAAGAATGAACACGGTGAAGAGATTGAAGCAAGTCTCAACCCAATAGAACAAACATTTGTCAAGTTGGTTTTTCCAAAAATTGCTTTAAAGTATATCGAAATTGAATGCTGGGATGTTCCTCCTATTCGTTTTATTTGTAGTTTGTTTTCATCCATTAGTCGCTTTGACTCACCTTCTAGTCGTGGTTTCAAGTTTGAAATTATATTTACTCTTATTCTTTATGTTCGATGGTGTTTTTGTTCCAGATTGGGTGAATTGAGTCTATTTCGGCATAGTCTTGTAGAAGATATTCCTATAAAAGTTGGGCGGAGAGTGGTAGGAGAATTCGAAAAGGATCCTATTCTCAAGTATGTTCCAGCATTGAGTTCCACAGTTGTTGGTATTCATAGTGCCAGCGAAGAAACTTATCATGTGAGTGCTTGGAAGCCGTTGTTTGAAACTTGCTTATCAAATGATGGAATATTTATTCCTACAAGGCAAAACTCCAGTGGACCTGATGTTCTTATTCGAGTAACACAAACTAGCGACAATTCTATTCTTATTGGACAAGATGCATCTTCTGTAGAGCAAATATCCATGGAAACTGAAACCAGTGCAAGTGATATTTTGAACAAACGGAGGATCTATTTGATTGGGATTGCATTGAAGTGTTATCAAATGTCAAGTCCTGGTGTTGGACGTTCTATGATTAAAGCAGAATGTGCTAAATTTTTACATCCAGTTGCGTCACAATTGGACTTGGAGAATCATAATATAATGGCAATTCAGCTTATTGTAAGCAACAAGTATACTGCAGAAGTATCCAAACAGCTGAAAGACAACCAAAATTGGGTATTGGATAGTGGAATTTATTATGAAGACCATAACAATCATATTGTCTCTAGTCCTATCAATTCTGCGACAAAACCACAGAATACAAGGGAAGAATGGCTATGGATTCCTCCTCATTGTCAAGTTGTAGTATGTTCTACCAGCTCTCTCAAATCCTTTTTAGGTTGCAAGGCTAGTGAAGATCTAGATAGAGTTTTTGGAGACCATCCATTATGGTTGGACCAACTCAGACCACTTTCAAATCTGTTGGAAAATTCATTGATAGACCTGTTGAGTCGTGCACCATTTGAGCAGTCTTCTGAGAGGAATATTCAATCCATGGAGAGGGGTAACCCAGTTATGAATTGGAATGTTATGCAAGTGGAAGAAGATACTCGAGACGAGGCGACTACTTCTTCGCTTAGTTTGGTGCAACAAAATCCATTTGACTGGATGAACTTTTTGAAAGCATATTGTCATTTAAATGAGGAAGAAGCGAGTAAATGTTATGAATGCCTTTGGACTTTTTCAGAGCGAGACATTGGATTCATAAGTTCGGATATATTGCAACAAGTTGGTATCGATGATACGTTGTTGCGAGTCAAGGTTCTTACTGGTATGAGAAATTATGTGAGAAACAATCCTCCAACTTGAAATGTTCTATATTCCTTCTCACAAATAAATATTCAAGTCTTGTGTATTCATAGCTTTTCTAACGCAAATGTCCTTTCGTTGAATCCGAAACATTTCAACGAAAGAAAACGCCATTCATTAACTGTGATATAAGAACAATACTTAACATTGTTTTGAGCAACTCTAATCTATGCAACATGGACTCACAATCCGGTAATGCAAAACAATATTGAAATATCCATGTATTTGCAGTAGATAAGATGAGGATGAACTTTCATCTTCTGAGCCATTTAGATAGAACCAATGATTTGACTTGGCTCATATTCTGGAATATATTTGGGTGTTTCTACTTGTTGCAAAAGTGAAAATTTTTTTTAAGAGCACTGTTTGATCTCTTGAAAGAGGTTTGAATGTCTAAAAGAGAAAACACTTGGAAAATATCTCCTTCAAGTTATGCATATCTCATAAAGGGATGAGTCTCAAGTTTTCTTTTTTTGAAGATAGGTGAAATATTTCAGGATAAGAAAGACCTGTAAGCTGTCTCAAAAATACTATTTTTTGAGGTGGTCTACGGTGAGTAGGTTGACTATACGAAGCTGACCAAAGGATATAAAATCTTGCGCTGATAGATGGATACACATTCTACTTATGATAAGAAGGATTGAAGGTCAAGAGTTACAATTATCTTGGTTCGATCGCAACATGAACAATCAATCATATGATAGTTTTGAACTTAAGTGGAAGTTTTAACAGTTTCCTTTCCTTGCACGGATAATTCGAGATTCGCTTCTATCTTCTATTATGAAAAGAAATATTCTTCATTTTCCAAAATTTCCAACAGTATTTTCTCTTGCTCGATGAAGAACATCTGACAAAACCGAGTTTTATCTAATATGCCAAATAGCACATGAAATATCCCCAATCTTCCCCACAGTCGCCTTTAGGCGAGCACCTCTGCAATTGCCCCGCATCCCCCCTTTCCCCATCCATTTTCCCCCACCGAAATTTCCCTCCCATTTCCAAATGGGCCCATTCTTCCCCAGCCCGCCACAATGGCAATTTCAAATCACGATCACCTTGGGGTTGGCCCCCAATTGGCCATTTCCCCACCCATTTTCCCCTTGGCAATTTCCCCACTCTCTCCCATTCCCAATTTACCCATTCTTTCCCACCCCACACCCATAATGGCAATTTTCAAATCAAAATTGCGCGGGCCCATTCCCAATCGGCCACTCTTTCCAAGTTGCCCACATTTCCCATTAGCAGAAAAATCAGTAAAAAGTGTGTATATAGCAATATACATATATATTGGTGCTCAACTTATTATGCAGAATCAGACCAAATGGAAACAACAAAATCTTCATTTTACAGTATACCAATATGATTCAACATTGGGTCAATTCTGGAAACAACAGACTCAAACGAGTTTCGGTCAACGATCTGTTTACTATTAAAAGCAATTTACAACTGTCAGTGAAAGAATGTGGGGATTTTCTCTCGTTATGATTCTTGTCAAGCAAACTATCAACTAGATTGTTCTCTGTGTCTTTAGATGAAAGAATACTAATACTCGTTGGTATTTAGTCTGTCAACTCTACTTGGGTAAATTCTTTCAATAAATCCATACAATCGTGAAGCAATCGGTATTAAATAGACTATAAAGGATATATAAGCCCTATATGAACCAAAGTCTAGGGTATAACGACTCTTCTTATGCGACAGAGAGGTTTCGAGTGTCACGATAAAAGATCTTGATGAGCTAAAGAACTCATAATAGACGGACAACCCAGTGTGGTTCAAACAATTCATTTCATTCTGTTAGCAGTATCCAATCCAGTCCGTATTCAGCTTGAGAATGCAAAATGAAACTACTCCTATTTATATCACTTACCTTGTATATATATCTTTTTCTATGTACAACTTGTCTTTGACCCGCAAATCAACAATCTATCTAAAGTGAATTCTTAGATCACCTTTTTGAATAGAATTGACCTACTACTATTCCTCAAATACTGGAATCAGTCAATTTCACAAGCCCAAGTGCAATTATTTGTCAGTTGATAAATAAATAGGCTAGTATGACACAAAGCAACCAATTAATCAATAAATCGAATCAACACAAGCCAAACTCAATTCTTCATCCATAAAGATAACAAAGAGTCTGTTGTGCAAATGACCATGAGCCACTGAAGGCTGTACCAGGTGATCAACTTGAATGTAATAGCTTGACATAACAAAGATAAGAGACAACTTTTTTCACCAAAGGAAGTACACGGACATAACCATATGTCTCAGCATGACTTGAAGTAGTAACAATCAAAGATTATGATCAAAGTACTTCTTCTTCAATCTTCTCAAGTTGTCATGTGGATTCAAATCTTTCAAACATCATAAAACCGAATGTTTGCGTTCTTCTATCTAAATAGGAATGATCTTTAAAGTTGCCTAGCATACAGTTCCGTCCAATTCAGTTGAACTATCTCGTATGCATATGATTCGGTAGTTAACTGCGACATTATATATGTCCCACTATCAAATCAATCTTTGATGGAACAGATTGGAGTCAAGTGAATTCTATCAACACTATATGAGTCATAGCCATAAAACTTGATAGTTTCGCCGATAACAAGGCTTCTATGAAACTAAGTTGCAGGGTGAGCTGTATGATAAACAGTGGAAAAAAAAGGTTAATGGTAAATTCAAATAGCATATATATAATAGGTACTCTTCAAATACAGTATTCATAACAAGAATATGAATTCATATGGACAAGGTCAAGTCATTCTATTTGACACCAAGTTCAATAGAAATATAGCCAAGATACATTAAAGCCCTCTCTCGACAACTTAAAATTGACCTTATCACTAGGCATAAATGATATGACAAAAACCAAAGGTACTCTATTTATGACCGACTCATGTAATTCTATAGGTAAGGCTCCATAAACAAGAGAATGAATGGTGCTTGAAGAAACAATAAACTACTCTTTATCCGATGACATTGATCTGATTCTCTCAAGCAAAGCAATTGGTCTATTCACTAATTTGATAGTTGATTGCTCTATTTTGTAAAATTACTTGTTTCCACTCAATACAGTTTAAACTCGGTTCAACATAGCCGAAACTATGATCTTTTAAAATCAGTTGAATTCAAACTGATTCCTGGACACTAGCTCATATCCCTATTGTCTCTAGTCTTGTTGATTAGATAGAAAAATATATCCGTTCCACAATTGAGGGATGCAATGAATTTACAATATAGCGAAATAGAGTGGACGTAAAACACCAATCACAATTCTAAATAAATGAGGAACATCAAAGAACTAGTATGTTTACGACTCTTCGAGAATAATGCTGTAGTGAGAAGTGTTGTCCTATCTCTTCTAAGAGTTGCTGTTATTGTTGTCGTCAAATGTGCAAATCAGATAGTAAATTCTGCTTTTATAATCATTTCTGCCAGTTTGTACCAAGACCTCAATAATTTTTGCAATGAAATAAATACAAGCAACTTCTTTCCGGTCAAGTTGTTGATTGACATAAGATTGATTAGTTTGAATCTAAAACCATTCGTCGAGTATGATGAGGAGCGGTATCCTTCTTCATGGAATAATAGTATCGAGATCAAGTCGAATCATAAGCTTGATATTGTTCTTCCTATAAATGTTATTGTATAAACTTTCCAAACTAGTAAAGAAAGTTATAGCTATATAGAGAAAAATATCTACAAAGATGCAAATAATGATTCTGCAAGTAAGATTGGGTATTCCTTGCTTTATTCTACACTTTGCCTTTTCGAATAAAAATTTGATTGGCTTCTATCAGTGAGAATTGTATATATTCATTTTTGATAAAAAAAAGAATAGGAAGAATAGAGTCAGTGTGAAAAGGATAAAGAATGCCTAAGTAATCAGGTCTTTGAAGCATTGGGCAATTTGTAACGATTAGATATGCCATGAAATAACATACACTAACCATTTTGCTTCAACAGCCTATTTCTTACTTTATGGTGTTCAAATACAGGTCATGCATATCAGTAAAATGGATAAACAAAACAAAGTACCATAAACGTTCTACTGTTACCAGTATGAGGTACTGTAGAGAATTCGTTTTCTACTAGTGACGACCAGAATATCGTTGATGTTTCTAGTGAGAATCAAATTCAAGAATTTTTGCTCATAACACTATCTCTGTAGTCTATTAAACTAGAGAGACATTTCTTTCTTTTTTCACTTCTTATCTTTCACCATCTATTTTCTTCCAAAGCAAATTGTGTATTTTTTTGTTCAGCGAGTTGTATAAAAGTTGAAATGAAAGGAATCATTTCCTTCATCTTGTACAATAAAACATATAAGCATGACTAGAGATTCAATAGCTTGTATCAGCAAGGTTACGTTGCTTCTTTTTGCGGCTCCTTTGTGACCAATCGTCTACAATCTAGTTGAATCTTCTTCTAAATCAAATGATTCCGTGGTCTATGAATAGTATAGTTTATCGCTGCCATACTTTATTTCAATTAAAGTTCAGTTTTTGGTGTTCGGTAATTATTCCAACTTTCTTGAAAAAATAAGATAACAAGATGATGACTACTCTCCGACCAGTCAATACAAACAAGCAATAGACTTTTAGCAAAATGACTTTATCAAAAAAAATAATGATTCTATGACGCAAGTTGAGCTTGGTACCAAGAAAGTAAAACGAGAACGTGCTCCACCAATATTGATAGGAACAATTGGATTCAAACAAAGTTCAATTGAATTCCGTACAGATACAAGAATGGTGGATGCTGATTGAACTATGCTCATCAATAGTAACACGTTCTCAATATTCTAGAAAAATGTACCTAAACTGAATTATGGTCGACCACCTGTCCAGTAGTGCAAACAGCATACAAATATCAAGGGAAAATTGATGCTTTGCTGCAATTCGGATTCTCACCTAGTGATTCTCGAATGAATTCATCTTCGACTTGATTCTAAGTGATCCAAATAATAGTCTGTAAATCATCCTTTTAGATTAAAGACTAAATTATTTTAGACAATTCAAGATAATCTTGGACAATTCGACGCTGAATCAAGCATACAGGGTGCCTAAAGACCACATAAAACACTGCTTCGAATATAAAGACTCTGTACATACAACAGCAAGATTTCAAGTGCAAAGGTACAAAGTCTTTATCAACTTGACAGCTAATAGTTAGTAAAGTATCAATTCTATCTTAAAGAAGCCATCTTATACAAACACTATCTAACAGAAACTCTATTGGATAACCCAACGTCCACTTAATGACAATTCAACCAACTCTCTCTTAGATACCCCTAAAAAATAACAAAGTATATTAGTCTTCCTATCAAACATATGATTTTGAATGGAAACGTTGATTCAACTTTTGTATGCATCGAGTTGT